ATGTTATACTTACTACCTTAATATTGAAGCACTGCAAACAATATAATATTCTGTACTAATAGGCAAAAATTGTTTTAAATATATGTACTACAATGTAATATTGACATAATGTATGAATTATGAATTATTTTCAGTAGCTGTTACTCATCAGCCTAAACAATTTTGCCCCCTCAATCTCCACATCCTGATAATCAAAATTAGTATGAAATATTCAATAATTAAAGTAGTTGGTTTGGTTCTGACAAAATTGGTAACTCCCCCTGCTATAATTGATGACATGCCACTATAGATAACTCAGACGTTGCAGGTTACATGGCACCATATGAATACACTGATTTTAGTGTATTCTCCACAATAACGTTTTCCCACTTGTCAGTATTGTGTTGAAAGAAAGTACAGTAGTATCAAAATTTTACCTGTTGTTGCATTTGTGGTCGTTGCTGATGTTGTTCCTACTAGTCCTGTAGAAAGAAAAATGTCACAATGGGCAGACTTAAATTCATTTCAATTCTCAATAATATCTTTAAGTATTGTGGTCTCTCTTGATCTCCCCAATCCCAAACAATACCTGCTAATAGGAGAAGGAATATAAGAGGATCCATCCTCCTGTTTTCAGGTGTCTGTGAAACATCAAGAAGTCACTATAAATACATTTTAAATACATTTTATCATGCAGAACAAATGCACACTGATGTGATTCTAATATACACCCTGTCGCCAGTATATTAGGTACACCTAGCTTTTAACTGATGCAGTCTATTAAAACAACTCTGCAATAAGTCTTACCTCTATGACGGTTATGATGATTAGTTTTAATAGTAACTGAATTAGAGAGAAATATTTCAACCCAGAGGCGAGTTGTAGTTTGTGGTGCTGTTGTACTGCATTGCAGCAATAACGGGTATTTGTTATATTTTTTCCACCACATATGTATCATTGAGGGTACTAAATATCTGAAACATTTCTTAGTGTAAGAATAATACAGTTCAACAGCACCACAAAGTACAGCCTCCAAAAATGATTACAGAGTTGAATCAACCGCACTATAAAACAGGTTCAAGAAGAACTGAATGTTATAACCATTATGAACGTGGAATTTATTGCAGGGCTGTTTTAGGAGGCTGCATTAGGTTTAGCAAGGAGTGGCCTATGCCTACGATATAGCAACTCAAATGTAAAAGCAGAGCAAGAGCGCTTTTGACGAAATCACTCTGGTTTTCCATCCTCCTCCTTTGCATGACAATGACTCTTTGACAAACTCATCCCCATGATTTAGCAGATGCTTAAAAGAGATTAGATGCACTCTCAACACATACTGAGTGTGAAACATGCAAAATCGGATATGTCAACATTCTGGAGAGACAAGTTTGAGTGACGTTGTTATATCTCACTTTGCCAGACAGAGTTACGCCCTGGGGGCTGTTCAAGATTCCAGACATTGTTAGACCTCAGACTACTGAAGAATTTAGAAATTAAAAATAATATTCTGATGACAATTCTCAAATTGGCTTGTCAAAGCTAGACTATGCTAAGAGTGGTTAGTGTTGCTCTCACAGGCACTTATTAGCTTGATTTGATTTATTTATTTATTTCAAACATTTAAAAAAAAGAATATTGTGGAAAAAAACCCTACACAACAGAGACAATCAATAAATCATGCACAGACTTACAATGACAAACATAAATTAACATTTCATGTCCGAAAAGTAGTAGAAAGAAGCAACATGCTTGTCTAGCCCTACCTCCAGACCCAAACTTTACTAATCCATCACTAATCAAACTATCACAGAAATACACTCTCACCATCGTTCAACTACACATTTACACCACTGTACTTCTTAATATCTGATATCCAATATTACCCAGTGTATAAAACAAATAGGAAAATATGAATTGAGAATACTGACAACAGCAACTTCCTGAGTGTGCTTTACATTCCCTCTAATGCTGTCTTTGTACCTCTCTTTAAACCGATATCTTTACTTCTTCACCCAGTGTGTTCCACAGTCACCCCACAAATCGATATACACACACTTTTCAGAGTGGTGCAAAAACAACGTTTCAAATTTAATCTACCTCCTAAGTTATATCCTCCCTCTCTGTCCAAGAGCATTTTTTGTACGATGCAAGTTATTTCTTGCTTTGTACATGACTTGAACCGTTTTGAAATCCAGTTCTTGTGAACGCAAAAACAGATGATCAGTGTGTTCCTGATGTCCAACATTGTGTAAAATTCTCATGGCTCTTTTGTTTCAGTATGGCTGTAGGCTGGTTTTGTAGGTGTTTCCTCATACCTCAATACAATAAGTTAAACACAGCAATATAAGAGAACAGTACAGAGTATACAATGCTTTGCAATCCAGTATGTGTCTGGCTTTGCCCATAACGGCAACACCCTTGTCAACTTTGTTCCTACATATGCCATATGTGGTTTCCAGCAGATTCTGTGGTCTGTTATCACACCAAGACATTTTTTTTCATATACTACTACATACTTTCAATGATGACATTTTCAATCTTATGAAATGCTTGTGTGTTCATTTTTTGACTTCCAAACAGCATTAATTTGGTTTTGCTCAGATTTAATCATAATTTGTTTGAGTCAAACCACTTATTTAATTTATTTAACTCTGATGTGACCACCTCTAGAAGCTGCTGCAAATTGTCCCCAGAGCAGAAAATATCAAACCATCCACAAATAACATGAATTTTAATGTCTGATGCTTTACATGTGTCATTAATGTGCAAAACAAACAAACAATGTTGGCCTAAAACTGACCCATGTGGGACTCCACAGGTAATATCCAAAGATGAAGATTTATGTTCTACAGTCTGCATGAACTGTTAACGGTTCAGTATATAAGCTCTGTCAGCAGCTTACCCGTATAAACAGAAAATTACTACTTTTTATATAAAAATCAGCTTGAAATCAGAGAGAAGAGCCCGTCAGGTGTTTGTCAAACACCTGATTTGTGAGATTGACATTACAAATAATGGCCAAGATTCATTCATCAGGAAAATGATCTTGTCTCAGCTGGATTGTGATCTAGACTCTGACTCTGCAATGTCAAGATTTCAACCTTTTACTGTCATCTGATAATGCTAAAATTATGACTGTATCATCCTTTCAGTTTGAGATTTGAGTGTCTGTTGTAAACTGAATGTGTATATTTGAAGTAATTTGTATCAGAATAAATATCTATACTTAATCAGTTTTCTCCAATTAGTTGTAAATACATATTTGTTAAATAAAGCAGGTGTCTTTACAAGGGTTAATTTAATTGAAATTGTGATTAGATTATGTAGCTGCAACAGCACAAGAACTTCTGCCCATCATATTCATTGTATCGAGCCAACAGAGCACTAAGGTGCCCACTGAGCAGCCACACCATGACAAGCCAAGCATTACAATCCATCAGTGTTAAGAATATAACTGTTACAGCCTTCAGTATAATACGCATATGCATTACTTTTATTAACGCTTTGTTCAACAGCATGTTTTCTTATCAAGATACAATGGAAGTCAAAGGCGTGTCCGAACAGTAGGAGTTGATATAAAATGTGTGATTTAAAAGCAACACAAATATTAAAGGAAAAGCATAGACTGTGAATCAGAATTCCTCTCTGAGCCCAGATGGAAATTATTCATTGAAAATCTGAGAAATCAATTTAGTCACAAAAAGAGGTGCAGAAAACTAATTTCCTGTGGTTGAAATTAAATACGTTCAGTTTTACACAGCAACGTCAATATAAATATTTACTTTCTTACCGCGGTGGAGTCCCAAGTGCAACTGTGCAACAATATATTGTATATTGTATTCACAGCAACTGTTCAAGGAATGGTACAAGCTGCCGCTAAGAAGGCACCAGTCTCCCTGAAGATGTGAGGATGAAAATGAAGACTTGTCAGTGAGTGGGGGTTTTGTGAGACGGACAGTTTTCCAAACCAGTGACATGACTTGCAGGACTTGTTCTGCTCTGTTATTTCCATTTCCACTCAGACACAGTGTAAAGGTGTGTGTGTGGGGGGGGGGGGCTAGTGGGTAAGGTCGGAGGATTGAGAGATGTAAATACCAATACACTGAGTAAAGAAGGCATTCTTGCAATGTCAAGCATCTATAAGGTGTCACAATGTGGTCTCAGCCTCTGGTGCCAGAACTCAACTGTGTCATTAAGTCTTACAATGGTGACTTGTTTGTAATAATGCAAACATTACTGTGTGAAAACAATTACTTTTGATAAACCTCCAAAACCAATCTGCATCATTACCATAAATGATCAGCAGAGCACATCAACAGTCGTAAAGCTCAGTCAGGAAGGCTACTTGTCTAATTGTCAGTTATAAAACACATTCTGTCATTACTATGTATGCCCAAGTCTTTTATCCATTTGACGCAAACATACCGTCCACATATACAATTTTTAACTCATCACAAAAGCAGACCTACGTAAACACAACTAATTTTAGACACGGGTCCCCAGACTATGCTAATTGCAAAGGTGTCTGAAATGGTTTCGACACACTGTCACACATGCCATGACGTAAACGATGACAAAAGGACGAGAGTTTACGGAGAGATTTTGAAACATTGTTAAGATTACACTTTTGAATGGCTAAAGTAAATACAAGGCAGTGTCTGCTGCAGCACTTGGCTCTGACTGACAGTACTGAAAAATTCTACTCAAGTAAAAGTACCTTTACTTTGATGAAATTCTGCTTAAGTACAAGTAAAGTTACCCATCTAAAAATCTACTCAAGTAAAAGTAAAAAGTACTTAGTTTAAAATGTACTTAAAGTAGAAGTTACTTAGTTACTTCCAACAACTTGATGGGGGTCACTCCAGTGCAAAAATGGGTCATACTGCAAATCCAATCCAAAAACTGGTTATTTTTCTACAATGAACCATAGAATTCAATTCAGTTTAGGGCTGCACAATATCATTAGAGCATCGCCATCGCAATGTGTTCTTGTGCAATAGTCACACTGTGAGACTTGCAGTATAAGTTCATCATATCAGTATAATATTAGTCAAAGGCAATATGCCAGACTTATTTTGCTGGTTCATACTTTAGGTTATGAAGTCATGCAAATACAGCCTTTCCAAATCCCAAATGATGACTTCTTTCCAAATAGAGCTATTCAAGTTATTGCAATACACTGTATATTGCAATACATATCATAGTATACAAAATCGTCGTCGCATTGTCAGTTTTGTCTAATATTGCACAGCCTTCATTCATTTTGACTCACGAATACAACTGTTAGACTGATGATACACAGAGCAACTTTTTGAGCAATGTTGTTGGGCATTATTCTCAGGGATGCAAACAGGTGTATGGTCAAGGAGATTCCTGATTTTAGACTTAGTTTTGGCCAGCTAACCAGCAAAGATGACACAACAAGCAAATAAGACAAGAACTTTGAGTTAATAGAAGATAATTTCCTCCTTTTCTCCTCTTAGGCATGTGAAGACAATGAGACAATGGGCCCCTGGGCGAATATATGCAAAAGGCCTAACCACCTCTCCCACATAGGAGCAAAACGCACAGACTTTGTGTGTCTACTTTGTGGTGATTTTGCCTCTTTTGTTGTTTTGACTCTCTTTGTGGTTGTTTTTTCCATTTTCGTCTTTATTTTGTGTCTCTTTTAGGGTTCTTTGAATCTCTTTGTGGTTATTTTGAGTCTCTTCCTGAAAGGTACTTGTTACTTTGAGTGACACTTTGCAGCCGAAGGTCAGGCTGAAGAGGTACGTGACCCGCCTGTTCAGTATCCATCCCTGTTCTTGATTGGTCATCTAAATGTGACAAATAAACACTCTTTCTAAACAATCTCAACAAAAAATCCAAACATCCATTTATTTTAGGAGAAGGCGAAACAGCCTCTGTACACAACCCTCACCATCTACGGCAAATTGAGCATGCACTGCCCACACTGCTTATCCTTTAGTGGCTTGCTATGTTTAGGGTTCTTGCTTTGGATACCAGTGGGCATTGTGTATAGTTTGTTTTAAAAACACACCATTCTCATCATGTAAAAAAACACTATCAGCCCAATTAATTCTGTGCCCAAGATAATCTGCATTTAGCTAGTAGCCCCCAACAGTTTACCGTTACACATCTTTTTATATGAAGGCTTTTTTTTTCAGAACTTGTAACTTAATAATAATAGTTAATCAACGATGGTTTGGTGTTGTTAATTAGGGGTCCCTCTTCCCAGTTTGGGAACCTCTGGTTAGGGTACCTGACTCTCGATCAGTCAACAAAAGCCCCATTTCCACCAAGCATTAGAATACAGTTCAGTTCAGTTCAGTTCAGTACGCTTTTTTCCATTTATACTGTGAAAAGTTGTGGATGGTACCAATGGAACCGTTCCATACTGTCCCCATTTTTGGTCTCCCCTCTGTTGGGGTACCTAGCACACAGATCTGGGTTAAAAGGTAGATCTGTGAACACTGCAGTCTGTTGATTGGTCAATAGTAGACAGTCACTCTGCTCAGGGCTGCGTTGCGACTGGTTTTGAGGCTCATGTAACCACTGTTCATACTGTGGAGAGTTTTATTAGTAAACTGTAACTATAGAATGAAAGGATGTTTTGCTGCCTCTTGCAGCAGCTGTGGAACGTTTACTTGTAATGTTACTCGATGCATGAGTTGACGACGTGAATCCATCAGCACACCTTAAATTTCATGTGACAACTTTGACCATTACTGAAGTTTTTATTATCTCAGATGACATGCACTTTTAGTAATGAGTGGAACTCACTCTGAGGGAAAAAAAACATTGCAGAGTGTTGTTCCTGTGGGCTCCAGCAACACTAAACCCCAGAGCTTGCCTGAGAAGGACTAAATGCACAAACCCGCTATTTTTAAATATCCCATGGAGAGAGATTCTCACTGCAGCCTGTTCTATTTTGTTCTGAAAATGTCGGCATGAGCCCTGTTCTGTGGATGATAAATGAGGTACAGACTTCCCTCTTTGTGCTGGACAGAGCAGTGAGTGACAACAACACCGCCCACATTTAAGAGTTTGCAGTGGAAACGCTAAGCAGACCTAGGGTCTAGGTACCATGTCTGAAGGGTTACTTTTGGTTCCAAAGGTACCATACTGAAAGTGTTTGGTGGAAACAGGGCCAAAGATACCTTGTTGACAGCCTATCAATTTAAGTGCTTATGACTGTAAAGGTACAAAGTTTAATAATCTGACTAAAAACAGTAAACAATTGTATTGTGTTTTTAGCTTGAAGATAATTATTGGAAAAGTAGTTTTACAAAATAAGCTTCACTCAAGGTCCTTCTCCGTTTTGCAAAATTATCTGGTTTTACTTTCCCTCGTGACACATTTCTGCAAAGATGACGAAGTGATAACTGAATCCTGTTTAACCTGCATGAGCCACAGCCTAAGGTGTCAATACAACCTGACAGCAAACCAAACACCTACCGGAGGTCTTGAACTGAAAACATTAAATGCAGCTCGATCTGGAGAAATTGTACTGCCGTATTAAAGGACCAATAAGTTCTAAATGACCACCAGGGCACTTATTAATATACATACATATATTCACATATTCAATGCAGAGATTCAGATAAAAGGTTAATTTACTGTCAACATGGTCACGCAACAAAATGCAGCTCTAGTCCTTTTATGCTACACAAGACCAAAAACACAAAACCAAATAAACTATTTTTATGGTGGAGTGTGGAGGATGGGGTGGAGTTGAATAGTCCCCCAGCCAGAGAAAAGAAGCTCCTGCATATTCTGGCACAGGCAGCCCCAAGGGGGGGCCCGGAGAGGGAAATGGCCACGCCTGATACAATTGCTGGCCTCCATCCCACTCTCCACATTCCATGCAAGAGGCTGTGGCTCGTACATTTTTTAAGCTAGGTGGTAGTGGTATCTTGTACATCTTGGCATAGCTTGTCTGTAATTTTGGTGAGGGAACAACTTGCATGGCCATTTTGAAAGGGGTCCCTTGAACTTTCACTCAAGATATCTGAATGGAAAAGGGTTTTATGGGTACCTAGGAGTCTCTCCTAAAGTTGAAAAGGCTTACTCCCAATAAATGTTTTGTTTCTTTCAATCAGTGTCGTCCGTTGCTTAACACATGTATACAAATACATAACATATTAAAAAATGATTATTTTGGAGCTCAAAATGTTAACTTCATTGGTATTGGGGTGCTTTCCGACCTAGAGTTCACTTGCTTTGGTCCGAATCAGGGACTAATTACATAATTACCTAGAGCTGGTTTGTGTTCTCACAGCAGCATTTACAAGCAGACCAGATCAAATGCCTTGTGTGGGAAAGCTGCTCTTGACTGGTCGAATATCGATGCAGGAAAAATCCAGGAAGTGAACAAAACGTTGAAGAAAAGTACACTTTCTAATGTCAGAATGGTGAGACAACTTATGGGTTGATTTTAGCGCTGGTCATTGTGTACTATATTGCTTGCATTGTTCATTTTAGTCAAACCATACAATCTGATCGAGGTCAGAACATGCTCTCATCATAAACGAATAGCACCAGAGTTCATTTGCAACCGGACCGACACCACCTTGGTCTCAGTCTGGTTGTTTGGGTGAGCACTCGAGTGTGACACCTGCTCAAACGAACCACACTAATGGGGCAAATGAACTTGAGTTTGATTGAACCGAACCAAACAGGGCAGGTGTGAAAGCACCCTCAGTGTTAATAATTATCTGATGTGCATACACTAACTGTAATACAAGAAACAAAGCTAATATCAATATGCAATGCCTTAACTCACCATGAACTCGTCAATTCAGTTTTGGCTTTTAGTTTTGATGCGTCACCCATAGAAATTTTCAGTGGACCAATATGACCACTGTAGTCTGGTGGTATGGCAACAGACTTCTGTATCACTCAGCAGACA